AAAAAGGCAACTTTGCCGTCTCAAAAAAAAAGGCGACGGCAACGTGTTGTTGCTAAAACCTTTTTGCAACCCCCTTTGTTGTGACCCCCCACTTGCCGTCGCTAAAAGTCATCTATCGTCGCAAAAAACCTTTTGAGACGGCAATTTGAGTATTTGCAATGACATTTTGCCGTCGCAAAAAAGTCAAATTTTTTGTAGTGAATTGAGAACTTTAGGTAAGAATTTCAATCCTTAAGTTTTGTGTTTGACTCACTCATGCTTGAATTCAAGAGAAGTTAGAGATTAAGAGCAAAATTGAACTTAAAAACAAGAAATGAATTGTTATTTTTATACTGGAATTTTTATATTATTATGTAATTATTAGTTTCTTTTTCAATTATTTTTTATTTAATACAGGTAATTTTCATATTTTTAATAATTTTATTGCAGGTTTTTTTTTTTTAGACGGCACCACATTGCCGTCGCAAATGATATTGGCAGAGTTGAGACAAAAGCCTTTTGTGACGGTACTCTTTGCCGTCACAAATAATCTTTTAGAGACGGCATATCATGCTGTCTCAACTATTTTTTTAGCGACGACAGGTATCCGTCGCAAATAACACCTTTAGCGACGGCAACATAGTGCCGTCTCAAAAAATGACAGATTTTTCCATAATAATGGCGACGGAATTTTGCCGTCGCAAAAAGGCAACTTTGCCGTCTCAAAAAAAAGGCGACGACAACGTGCCGTCGCTAAAACCTTTTTGCAACCCCCTTTGTTGCGACCCCCCACTTGCCATCGCTAAAAGTCATCTGTCGTCGCAAAAAACCTTTTGAGACGGTAATTTGAGTATTTGCAACGACATTTTGCCGTCGCAAAAAGTCAAATTTTTTGTAATGAATTGAGAACTTTAGGTAAGAATTTCAATCCTTAAGTTTTGTGTTTGACTCACTCATGCTTGAATTCAAGAGAAGTTAGAGATTAAGAGCAAAATTGAACTTAAAAACAAAAATTGAGATCAATCCTTGCATTGTATGCATAATTCATGATTTTTGAGTTCTACTTTTGCAAATTCTTACATGCAAGTGCATATCTTTGCTCTCTCTTAAGAGCTTGCTATGATTCTCCATGAAAACACTCCATCTATTCATGTTTTGAAAACTTTGTACCTAAGAAATTGCATACACGTTATGTTTTCAACATTTCAAGTTTGATTTTGAACAATTGACATGCTTTTAGGCCTTGATTTCGTGAAATGATCTTTAATGTTTTCCAAGTTTAGACAAGTTTTCTCAAGTTTTGGGGCCAAAAGAATGTGTTTTGTTGGGTTGAATTCGAGTTTTGAAGCTTAAACAACAATCTAGAAATTCTAAATTCTGCCTCTCTACTTGAGCAACAGAACCTGTGCTCGAGCGATTACTCTTGTTTTTGTACTTTCGTTCGAACGACCAAAAGTTGGTTCGAGCATAAAATGCATGCTCCCAAAAATTTACATGTTTTGCAGACCACTCGAGCGACCGTTGAGCATGCGTTGAGTGGAAAAATCACACAACCAGTACTTTTGCAAAGTTTACAAACCGCTCGAGCGACCTCTCACATTTTTCAACCCCCACTCGAGCGAGGAAAGCTATGCTCGAGCGAGGATCTTGTCTTCAGCAATTTAACTAAGTGTTGAACATCATGTTTTGGCATCCTCATTGCATCCGAGGCATTCCTAGGCCATGATTAAGACGTAATAAGGAGGTTAAGACTTAGAAACACACTAAGAATGAAAAGAGTTAAGTTAAGTACTATCCGAGTATGTGTTTCAATATGTGTATATGTTATGTTTGTGTAGGTCACGCACCATAAGCCATTTGATTAGTCTGCTTTGTCTGTTTGCATCCGAAGCCATCTGTGAGTAATAACTCTGTAAAGTTATGTTTAACTTTAATTATTTTCTAATGATATGAAATGATCTGTTTTCTGAAATGCTATTTTGTGATGGAATGAATGATAGTCCAATATTTTAAAATGTATTCATGGCATCCTTAGCATCATATGATATGCGTCTCTTTATGGGTCATCAGAATGCCTTTATGGTGATCTCTTTATGGGTCATCGGAAAGCCTTAATGGCCGTCCCTTCATGGGTCATTGGAAATGTCTCTGTGCACATGAGTCATCGGAATGCCTTTATGGTCGTCTCTCTACGGGTCATCGGATTTGTTAACGCTAATGGATATACCATGTATGACCTTGAGAAATGTATGAATTGTTAACATGAATATGACTATGTATATGAATTTGTTTCTGGTTTGAAATTTAATTATGTACAAGAAATTGTTTCTGATACGGACATCATTCATTAAAACCTTTACTCTGTTTTTATTCATTGGCCTTCCGCTCATTATTTATCTTATGTATGTAGGTGAGCAGGCGCGTGACCAGGCCTAAGTTGCTGCTTGGAGAGTTTTGGGTCAACCAGCTACTGTGCCTCCCAGGGAGGTTCCCATATGAGAAGTCGGGTTTTATGAACATTGTTACTTTCTTTGTTTTTTGTTTTTGTTTCCCTGTACACTGGGCTAGTCCATTTTGTTATTATCTATGTGGTGATACACGACTTATGAAACTTTTGGTGTCATTTGTATATATTTAAGTTTAAATTCTCTGTCTCATGTATGTCAGCACAGCTCTATGGACAATGTATTTTATATATTTGCTTCCACTGCCCTTTATATTTTACGTTTTTCAGGTTAGAGGCCTTTGGTTATCCCAGGATTACTGGCCGGTTACGGCGCTAAACCTATAGGGGCGTGAAGGGACTAAATATGAAATGGGTCAGATCCAAGCCTTGGGCCAGCCTAATCCACTTAAGCCCAAATCCAAGTGGGTCAAATGAACATGTGGGCAAGCCACTTAAGCCTAACTCCATGATCAACAATCTACCCAAGTCCTCAAGCACTTGGGCCCAACTCGCAGTGGAAAGGTTAGTCCAGCCACGATACTGGGCTGGGCCGAGCTGCAGGGGTTAATATATGGACCGAACTGATGGGCCGAACCCATCGCTAGAACTAAACTTGGCCGAGCCCATACAAAAGATATCCGAATGGGCCAGCCCATCTTTGCAAATGGTCTTGTGAAAGGCTGAGCTGAGGGAACCTCTCAGAGAAACGTGGAAGCTATGAATGCATGCACATGGAGGATGCCACCTTAGCTAGTCCCCTATCCTTAGAATCACGGGAGCAGTTAACAAAGAGAACGTGATATGTTATAAATGTGGTTACAATGAGTATATACATTCATTATCAGCCACCAGGTGGTCCCCTACCTTGAGCAATACTAGAGGAGACTTGGCAGCACCAAAGCTTCATGAAACTATCTTGGACAACAAGTGTTCTATATAAACTCCACTCACTTCACATTGAAGGTAACCAAGTTGAGCTAAACTATACTCACTTAAACACGACTCTCTACACTTAGAGAGTACTTTCCATCTTCTCCGATCACTTATAGCCTTGACAGTTTTTTGTGTTGTAGGTCCTCAGTTCCTGGACAGTCCATTCAGTTGTGGAGCTCCGATTCACTTTCATCTAGTACGGTATTCGGTACGCACAATTGGTGCGGTGAGCGTGGATCTTCATCTCTGAGCTTTGCATCTGATTCTGGCGATGGGAATTGAGGATATTCCACCCTCTGCATTGACTCCACAAACGGAGAAGACAAAGGATAAGGGCTTGGCACTGCCTATAGTCCTAGAGGAACAGACCAGAAACAACAACCGGACTCCAAAATCTATTGAGCATCGACAACCCTTTACTGGTGGATCCTCTCACCATTTTCTACTAGAGAAAGACTATAGAGATCATATCAGCCCATCTTTGCAAATGGTCTTGTGAAAGGCTGAGCTGAGGGAACCTCTCAGAGAAACGTGGAAGCTATGAATGCATGCACATGGAGGATGCCACCTCAGCTAGTCCCCTATCCTTAGAATCACGGGAGCAGTTAACAAAGAGAACGTGATATGTTATAAATGTGGTTACAATGAGTATATACATTCATTATCAGCCACCAGGTGGTCCCCTACCTTGAGCAATACTAGAGGAGACTTGGCAGCACCAAAGCTTCATGAAACTATCTTGGACAACAAGTGTTCTATATAAACTCCACTCACTTCACATTGAAGGTAACCAAGTTGAGCTAAACTATACTCACTTAAACACGACTCTCTACACTTAGAGAGTACTTTCCATCTTCTCCGATCACTTATAGCCTTGACAGTGTTTTGTGTTGTAGGTCCTTAGTTCCTGGACAGTCCATTCAGTTATGGAGCTCCGATTCACTTTCATCTAGTACGGTATTCGGTACGCACAATTGGTGCGGTGAGCGTGGATCTTCATCTTTGAGCTTTGCATCTGATTCCGACGATGGGAATTGAGGATATTCCACCCTCTGCATTGACTCCGCAAATGGAGAAGACAAAGGATAAGGGCTTGGCACTGCCTATAGTCCTGGAGGAACAGACTGGAAATAACAACCAGACTTCGGAATCTGTTGAGCATCGATAACCCTTTGCTCGTGGATCCTCTCACCATTTTCTACTGGAGAAAGACTACAGAGATCATATCATCGATTCCATGGGAATGGAGATACATGAACTAAAAGCACAGCTTAAGAGGGTGATAGGCGACCCGATAAAGAAGAAGACTGGCGCAGAACCCTCTCATCTACACCAGAGAAGCCCATCTCTTGATCCACCAGTAAAGAAGGCCCCTAGAAATGAATTTGGACAACAAAGTTAGCCGATTCTGGTGCAAAGTGAGGTAGCCAGCAGCCACACTCGTGGTTCACGCCGGAAAAGGGCTAAAAGATAGAAAACAGCTAGCCAACAAACAGAGTATCCTCCACATGATCTCCACACCTGGTTAACCGAGAACAGAGAGAATGAGCAATGACAGCACCTTGATAGAACAGTCCATCAAATGGAACACCAAGTGCTTGATCGACTCGTCTCCTTCCTGTTTTCTCTAGGTATCGAGGCAATGAAACCCCCCAAGAAATTCACTCCACCCAAATTCACACCATACGATGGGAAATCAGATCCACTCACACACATTAGCTATTATTGGCAGATGATGTCTCTGTGGAACCGAAACGAGGCACTAATGTGCAAAGTCTTTCCATCTAGTCTAGGGGAGTCTGGACTCCGATGGTTTGATCATCTCCCTGCTGAATCGATCTACAACTGGAAACAACTCTCTGAAGAGTTCCTGGCTAGATTTGTTTCCAACACCAAAATCCCTATAAAGCCGGATACCTTGTTCGGCCTCCAAAAGGAGCAGGAGGAAACATTGCGTAATTATGCAAGAAGATATTGGAAGGAGTATAATGATTTGGAGGAAAATGTTTGCAACGAGCAAATGGCTGTAATGTCTTTTAAGCATGGCTTACGTCCGAAAAGCAACCTGAGACAATCACTCACTAAACGCCCAGCAACAGCACTAAAGGATTTACATGCCAGAATTGAGCAATATGCTTGTCTCGAAGATGATCAGATCCCCATCGAGGTAGCATTGGCTGAACAGTCAAATCGGGGGAACAAAAGAAGAGCAGATCGAGGGAAACCTCGAGGAATTACAGTGAATGAAGTAGGCAAATCTAAATCTCATGAAGCAGTTGTTATAGTCTTCAAAGAACCTATTTACCTTATTATGGAGAAGATCAAGAGAGAGCCATTCTTTACTTGCCCACCGAAGATGCTAGGAGACCCAGCTTGGCGTAACCAAAAGCTCAGATGCATTTATCACCAAGACCGGGGGCATATGACTTAGAATTGCAAAGCTTTGAAGCAACACTTGGAGGATTTGGTAGCTGCTGGAAACCTCCGAGATTACATTGATCCGGATAAAGTGGTGACCGAACAGGGGAACCCCCCGCTAGAACCAAACATTGAACATCCACCTCGATTGATCATAAATGTAATTCATGGCACAACCAGCCACGAGTGTCAAGAGATGCTACAAGAGGAAGTTGTGAAAGCTATGCAGATTCAGCAAGTGATGTTAGTAGGCCCAGCACCGAAAAAGGTAAGAATAATGCCTCAGTCCCCTTTATGTACCATTTCATTTACTAAGAAAGATTTGGAAAGGTGTTCAACATCCCCATACTGACACATTGATTATAACTGTGGGAATTGGAAAACGATCTGATGTGAAACGAGTCCTGGTGGACTAGGGAAGTGCAGCAGATATATTGTATTATGACCTGTTCAAAAGTTGGGCCTGTCCGAACAATATCTCACCCCAACGGCAACATCGTTGATCGGCTTCAATTCCTAACCTGAATGGCCACTGGGCAAGATAGTGCTACCAACGGTAGCCGGAACAAAAACTCTTCAAATAGAATTCTTAGTGATCAACACTCCGTCCCCTTACAACGCAATCCTTGGTCGACCATGGATCCATCAAATGAAAGCAGTCCCTTCAACCTACCACCAACTCCTTCGCTTCCCAACGGAGCACGGAGTGGAGCAAATTCCAGGGGATTAGGTTGCATCAAAGCATTGTTTCATGGCGGCCATAAAGGCTAAAGAACTCTACAATCAGGTACAAACAGTCGAAGTAGCCGAACAACCGTTCCTGGAGGATGTCAAGGTAAACCTAGTAGAGAAGATGGTAGAAGACTTGGAGAAAGTCCTAGTGAAGGAAGATGATCCAGAAAAGTACTTTCTTATCGGTACCTCGCTACGCGCTGATGAAAAACTTCAGTTGCTGGATTTGCTGAGGGAAAATATAGAGGTATTCACATGGTCAGCATATGACACTCTGGGGCTAAATCCAGATTTTTGCTTGCCATAAACTCAACGTCAACCCTTCTGCTCAGCTTATACTGCAGAAGAGCCGAAGATCTTCAGTCGAGCACACCGAAGCAGTAATTACGGAGGTAGACAAGCTCCTAGCAGCAGGGGTAATCCGAGAAATCCAATACCCACAGTGGTTTTCTAACACAGTTGTAGTCAAAAAGAAAAATGGAAAGTGGAGAGTTTGTGTTGACTTCACTTGCTTTAACAGGGCTTGTCCAAAAGACAGTTTCCCTTTACCCCGCATAGACTAACTGGTAGACTCAATAGCATGACAAGAGTGTATGAGTTTTTTAGATGCCTACAACGGCTATCACTAGATACCACTATTCGGCCCAGATCAAAAAAAGACGACATTTATTACTCTAAGAGGCACCTATTGCTATAAAGTAATGCCATTCGGCCTTAAGAATGTCAGAGCAACTTACCAGCGAATGGTAACTCGAATGTTCAAAGAGTAGCTCGGCAGGACCATGGAAGCCTACATAGACGATATGGTAGTGAAAAGCAAGCTTGCAACAAAGCACCTCACAGACCTAAGAGAAGTTTTCAACATCCTGAAAATCCATCGGCTTCGCCTTAATGCCTCGAAATGCACTTTCAGGGTAGGAACAGAGAAGTTCTTGGGGTACATGGTAACGCACAGAGGAATAAAGGCAAATCCAGATCAAATCAAAGAAAAATACAAGAAAATCAAGATACCAACAAAGGCCAAAGAACTACAAAAACTAGCCGGAATGACAGCAGCCTTGAATCGATTCATCAACAAATCATCAAATCGAATGAAGCCCTTCTTCCAGCTACTGAGGAAAAAGGTTGCGTTCGAATGGGGTCTTGAATGTACCAAAGCACTACAAGACCTCAAGCAATATCTCAGTACACCATCTCTCTTTTCCACTCCACAAACAGAATTAGCTTTGGTGTTTACCGATATATGGTAGTCTCAAACCATGTAGTGAGTGTAGTATTAATTCGAGAAGTTGAGAGGGAATAAAGACCAGTGTACTACATCAGCAAGACTCTCCTAGACACCGAAAGACGGTATCCACTATTGGAAAAGCTGGCTTATGCTTTGCTCATTGCATCAAGGAAGCTACAACATTAATTCCAAGGTCATATCATTAATGTCCTCACTGAATTCTCCCTCAGATCCGTCTTTGGCCAAGCTGATTTCTCGGGCCGAACTGCGAAATGGGCGGTCGAGCTTGGTGAGTTTGACGTACAGTATCTGCCTAGAACAGCAATAAAGGCCCAAGTCTTCGCAAATTTTGTCGCCAAATTCGCCCCCGCCTAGGGCATCAAACATCAAAACTCCAGCTCGGCACAAGTGCCACACACCACCGAACTAGGAAAACAATGTGCTTCAGACGCATGGAAACTCTTCATTGGTGACATCTGGCAGTTCTGCATTGACGGATCATCAAATAACCGAGGCTCGGAGGCAGGGATGGTACTCATATCTCCGGAAGGATTCATCTGGGAGCAAGCCCTTAGGCTTCGATGGAATGCCTCTAACAACGAGGCAGAATATGACGCACTGTTGGCTGGATTGCGTAGCGCCAAACACTTCAGTGCATATCAGCTCCTTGTTTTCAGTGATTCTCAGTTGGTCGTTAATAAACTCACTGGGGCCTACGAAGCAAGAGATGAAAGAATGGCCATGTATGCAGACAAAGCTAGGGAATTGCTTAAAAAATTCCAGTCCATACAAGTGGAACGAATCAACCGAGACAGAAACAGTCATGCTGATGCTCTAGCCTACCTTGGTTCATTAGTAAATTCTAAAGATGCCAGAAAAATTTGGGTCGAGTTTGTGCCAGAACCAAGCATTACATCTTCAGAGCCAATCCTCTGCACTAACCTAGAGCCAAGCTGGATGGATCCAATACTTGTTTTTCTAAAAATTGGCACTCTCCCCAAAGACAAGAAAGAAGCCAACAGAGTTCGGTACATATCAGCTCGGTTTTGGATCTCACCATCTAGAAAGTTATACTGACGCTCCTACCTCGGCCCATATCTACTATGTGTGCATCCAAGTCTAGTCGAAAATGTCCTCTATAAAATTCATGACTGGATTTGTGGAAGCCACGTTGGAGGAAGGTCACTGGCACACCGTGCCCTCACTCATGGGTACTGGTGGCCATAGATGTAGCATGACACACAACAGTATGTTCAGAAGTATGACAAATGTCCGAGGTTTACTCCATAGATTCATCAACGTGCCAAAACTCTTACTCCACTTACTAGCCCATGGATTTTTTCCTAGTGGGGTTTGGATACTGTTGGACCATTGGCATGAGGCACTGGAAATAGACGATTCTTCATCGCTGCAACCAACTATTTCACCAAGTGGGTAAAAGTTGAAGCCTTGGCTGTTGTAGTCCGTTTTGGCGTTCCATGGGTACTGATTATGGACAATGGAACACAATTTGATGGGAAGATTTTCAAAAAGTTCTATGCCGATCTCAGAATCGAGTATCGTAACTCCTCTCCGGGCTACCCACAGAGTAATGGGCAAGCCGAAGCATCAAATAAAACCATCATCAACGGAGTGAAGAAGAGGCTTGAAAGTGCAAAAGGGAAGTGGGTTGAAGAGTTATCCCATGTGTTATGAGCCTACCGAACCACAGCATGATACTATTGCAGATGCAAATAATGCAGATAATGAGGAAGCTATTGCACAAGCATTAGACATGGCAGAAGGCCGAAGAGAAGCAGCACTGATCAGACTTGTAGCCCATCAACAACAGCTCATCAAGAACTTTAACCAAAAAGTATTTCCCAAGCAATTCACACCTGGCGAATTAGTCTTGAGAAAAGTCATGGACCATAAAAGAGTACCTGGTGAAGGCAAGCTAGGACCTAACTAGGAAGGCCCCTACAAGGTCACAATCGTTACTGGAAATGGAGCATACTACCTTGAAGACCTCAAGGGCAGAGCCATACCATGGCCCTGGAATCTAGCAAACCTCAAGAAGTATTATCAATAAAATTGTTCCCCAACTCATCTGTCAAACCATAGTGGCATTTATTGATTGTTTAATAGGAGTGTATCCCCACTTTTATTGAAATCTTTGCTACAACACTTGTACAGCTTCATGAGCAGCATAAACTATTAATTAGCCCAGTCTTTGTAATTCAAGCCCCAGGGGCATGTTTCAAATTCACAATATTCAGCTTTGGTGTTTACCAAGCAGAAATCAACATTGGTTTTTACCAAACCGAATTAGCTTTAATGTTTATCAAACAAAATTAGCTTTGGTATTTACCAAACGGAATTAGCTTCGATGTTTATCAAACAGAATTACCTTTGGTGTTTACCGAACGAAATTAGCTTTGATGTTTCTCAAACGGAATTAGCTTTGGTGTCCACCAAACGGAATTAGCTTTGATGTTTATCAAATGGATTTAGCTTTAGTTTTAAACAAACGGACTAAGTTTCGGAACGACCGAACAGAATTTGGTTTCGGTTTGCATTCAAACATGCCAAGCGGAATTACTTGGTGGAGTTATGTTTGGCAACCAAAATGGAACTTAGCCAAGTGGGATTGCTTGGTAGAAACTGCACTAACAAACTTTTTTAATTAATCATTTCCTTTGTGAAAATCATAGAATTTTCAAAGTCACAAATGATTCTTTCTTAAGTACAAACACATCAACACTTCGATACTACTCCATACAAAGCACAAGTTGGAATTGACTTGGGTAATTCTTTCAGGATCAAACTCCTAGCATCAATCCTACTCAGCTCTAGGTGGGGGCAAACAATTATTTTTTTTCAAACCAACCTGGACCTGCGTGACACTTCACTTCTTTTTATCTTTTCGTCTCATTCAAAGTTAAAACAGACTTACACAGTTCTGCTACAAAGCAAAGAGCTTCAATGCCAACCTTACTTAGCTCCAAGTGGGGGCAAACAATTGTTTTTCAGAACCAACTTGGACCTAAGTAAGACCCATTTGTTTCATTACA